CAGGCAGAGAGAGAGGGGGGGAAGCAGGCTCCCCGCTCTCTCTGCCTGCCTCTCTGCCTACTTGTGATCTCTGTCTGTCAAATAAATGAATAAAATCTTAAAAAAAAAAAAAAAGAAAGTGACTTCAAGTATGAAAGTATTAACAGTTAAAGGATATTTCATCCAATTTACAATTACTACTTGTATTCTTGGTCTTCCCATATAAAACAAGCATATTCTTGGGTTCATGTTGTTCATTTCCTCATTTGGAATTTTTAACAGCAGATAGGGTGCTAAATCAGTGTAAGTTGGTGCTTCTGTCACCTAGGTTTCTAACATCTTCCATATACAAAAACACACCCATAAATAAAGGTGCTAATGTTGGAAGGGGAAAGATCCTTTCACAAGCAACTTAACACAAGTGACTCCCTGCATAGAGGAAAATGTTATAAGACCTAGCTCATAATTAAACACTGTCTATTTCACCTAACTGAATTGTTTTTCTCTTATCTTTTTAGAAGACTGTATGTGTGTTAATATTAAAGGTTCTGTTTATTTGTTTAAATTTAATAGGTATTGTTTAAATAGTAGCCTTTCAGCTTATTACAATTTACAACTATACAGAGGGAAGAGTATAGCTACAAGTATTGCAAATTGTAGCAGACCTCTGATGAAGAAGTGTGATCTTATCCAGGAAGGTTTGGAGAGTGGGGAGTGGGAATTACATTAGGGGCTACACCTTTTAGTTAGAAGAGAGGCCAGTAGCTCTCAGTAATAGTCTTAGCCCATCCTTCACTTCCTTGCCATAAGTTTGGGTCAGTGTTCCAAACAGATCATCCATGTACAAGACAGAAACTTGCATGTTGCTTTACAGACATTATAGAAACCAACATCAGTTCTTAAAGAATCTTATTTTCCTACCAAGAAAGACTACTGTTACTTTTGCCAATTCGTGATATTCCCCACAAAGGAGAGCAAATGTAAAGCCCTACAACCTTTCCTTGTTTTTATGTAATTTGGCTCTCTATACTTTTGTCCTAGTTTCTAGAAGAGGCAGGACTAGTTTAAAAATGCACACACATCTACAGACAGACAGACACATACACACACGTAACATTTTCAGATTCCAACTCTGACAAGTCTTGATCCTTTATCCCCCGTCTCGGGTGTCTTAGTTCTCCCCTGTGTGTGGACACATTGCTTCCTGCATACACTATCCTGGCCTCTGGTCATGGTGACCCTGTCAACCTAGGCTTTACTTTCCCAGAGGATGTGGCCTCTGCTTGGGATGTTACAATTTATAACTTGCTACCTCAACAAATATCCAGTTGGCCTTTGCAATTTTACAGTGCAAGACTTTGGGTAGGGGAATGTATTTTTGTGGAAATTGCATATTCCATTGTTGCCTCTCATATATCACAGCTCTCTTCACAGGCACCGAAGGCAAGACATTTGCTAATGACCTCAAACCCCTGCCACATATAGTCTTTTTTTATTTTCTAGGCTTCTAAGCATCTTTTATCTGAGTCGTTTGGACCATTTGTGGAAGACTTGTAATTACCTTATTTGCTGTGACTAGGAAATCTAAGGACTATTCAGATTGATTAGAGGCCTTGGCGGGAAAAGCTTTTGATCTGGGGTAATATCATTTTAGAGCCCGGAATGTGGGTTCTATGATTATGATCTGCGTGGGTCTATAAAATAAGCCTAAACGGCAAATTGTCTTCATGGTTATCTTTCCTTTTAAACAAATAAGAATTGTCTTTCTGGTTTAAAGAAAAACAGAAGATAACATTGCTCTTCAAACCCAAATGAAATTGTCATAGATTGCTAATACCACAAGAAAACTGCTCACTGGTGGCAATATTTTGGACACCTATTGGGAAACCCTTGATTTTGTAGTACAATTGTCTTATGGGACCTTCAGGCTTCTACTGAACAGAATGACTAGTATTGGGATTCCTTGAAGGGTGGGATGAGACAGACGATATCCTAACCCCACCTCTTCCCCCTTGTTGAAAAGATTCTAACGGTGGGGCCTGCAGATCTACATTTTGCCCAGAGCTTCTACGTAGCAATCACTGTGGGGTGTAAGAGCCGCCACCCCAGGAGATAGATGGGTAAAGCCTCCGTGATCGTGATTGCTAAGACCAACTTGACTTACAGTGAACTCTTGTCTCTCTCCTGCTTAGGTGCAAATGTAATCTCCACGCCACTGTGTGTGTGTATGACAACAGCAAACTGACCTGTGAATGTGAGCACAACACCACAGGTCCAGACTGTGGGAAATGCAAGAAGAATTATCAGGGCCGGCCTTGGAGTCCAGGCTCGTATCTCCCCATCCCCAAAGGCACTGCAAATACCTGTGAGTAACTTTGCTCTCTAACACCGTATTCTGTGCAAGATGAGCTGACAGTTCCTCTCAATTTCACTTGCAATTGTGCTGTTCCTCTTACGGCTATCCTATTCCTCTTCAAAATGCGGCTAAAGCTTTAGTCTCTATTTCACCACTTGTAAGCACATTTTCACACTTGGATCATCTGTTAAATTCAGTCTTCCAACATTCACATCAAATGGGTTGGGAAATGATGGAAATCAGGAGACATTTTTTTCTAAGTGGATGAAACAGGAAATGTTTGCTTTCCTCCCCAAATTAATTTCCTATTAAAATAACAACAGCCTTCAAAACTCCCAGTGGGAACTTAATTTTAGCCATAGGCAACTCCAGAAATTCTCTAAATGTTTCTAATCCCATTTCCCCTACTGGGTAACTTGAGGGATGTTTTGTCCAGAAGATGCTTCCCTGTCCGGTTTTCACTACAGCCTAACTTCGCCTGATGAATTAATTGGCTTTTTCCAAATGCCAGCTGTTGAAGTCATGCCTGGCTTGGATCCTGTTAGTAGAGCCACCTTTTGATTACCAAGCGTGACTGTGTAGGCCTGCAGGTACTACATTAAGAAAAGGAATGTCTGGGGCACCTGGGCGGCTCAGTGGGTTAAGCCTCTGCTTTCAGCTCAGGCCAAAATCGGGCTCTCTGCTCAGCAGGGAGCCTGCTTCCCCCTCTCTCTCTGCCTGCCTCTCTGCCTACTTGTGATCTTTGTCTCTGTCAGATAAATAAATAAAATCTTTAAAAAAAAAAAAAAAGAAAGAAAGAAAGAAAGAAAGAAAAGAAAAGGAATGTCTGAGTTCATGTGAAAAGAGCGCAGGCCTTACTTGTGCTTCCAGGGACCATGAGAGATTCCCCATTACCACCCCTGTGCGCCCCACTAAAATCCCTGAAGATCCAGAGGAAGACATGCTCTGACACACTCAGGGAAAGACATGATTATTTCCAGAATAAACTCCCCAATTCCAAGGATGGACCCATTAGCCACTTGTGAAAGCCCAAAGTTTGCCCTCTTTCAAAAGTAAAGAAAGGGTGAGGTTGAGAACATACCCATAAAGTGAGAAGTAACAGAAATAGCAGGACAGTGAGCAGTGGGAGAATGAGGGCTTAAAAAGCCACTGGCTCGGGGCGCCTGGGTGGCTCAGTGGGTTAAGCCGCTGCCTTCAGCTCAGGTCATGATCTCAGGGTCCTGGGATCGAGTCCCGCATTGGGCTCTCTGCTCAGCAGGGAGCCTGCTTCCCTCTCTCTCTCTCTCTCTCTGCCTGCCTCTCCATCTACTTGTGATCTCTCTCTCTGTCAAATAAATAAATAAAATCTTTAAAAAAAAAAAAAAAGCCACTGGCTCTTTGTGAGGCTGAGAATGTTATCAGGTACTTCAAAGCAGCAGCTGTGAGAAGCCAAAACCTAAAAACTAATATCACAGGAACCAGGACCTTATCAAGTTAAATGTAAGAGTAATGGAGCGAGTAACAAGCCATGAAGTATGGAGGCATGAAATTATGATAAAATTTCTATGAAGCAGAAAAAAATATTCTTCAAAAGATTAAAAAAATCTCTATTTGTAAGGGGATTCCGTTTCTTTCTGTGTTAAAGAAAAAAAAGTCTAGCTCCTAAAATTAATACATAAAGCTCTGTTGAGCAGAAATGTTGATTTTTCAAGGCGATTTTATTAACAGAGACTCTGGGCTGTCCTCAGTTGTTCAGGGCCATAGACTCATGAATTCAGAAGGAATCATGAGGTTATTTGTTTGGGAGCCCCTGTGCCTGACTACCAAGAATCCCTATCACCACACTTGTCACATTTGCTTTAAAGGTTTCCCTAAGTGGAAGTAGCTCCAATTTCATTTTCAGTGTCTGCTGCTTCTTTTTTTTTTTTTTTTTTAAAGATTTTATTTATTTATTTGTCAGAGAGAGAGAGAGAGCAAGCACAGGCAGACAGAATGGCAGGCAGAGGCAGAGGGAGAAGCAGGCTCCCTGCTGAGCAAGGAGCCAGATGTGGGACTCGATCCCAGGATGCTGGGATCATGACCTGAGCCAAAGGCAGCTGCTTAAACCAACTGAGCCACCCAGGTGTCCCAGTGTCTGCTGCTTCTTTAGGGTGACAGGATGGAATGGAGGAAGGTTCACAAACTCTTGTTGGCATTCTGGTTCAACCTCAGGGCCAATCAACTTGTCAAGGGGACCAGAAAGGCAGGTGAGGCCGAACTCCAGCTGCGTTGGCTCCTATTCTCACATAACAGTTCTTCAACCCATAAATGAGCTTCAAAGACTTGCGTACTTCAAGACATTTTCACCGGGGACCCCTTCTTGCACCATCCGAGCTTTTTCACTGCAGTGGGTTTTTTGTTATATTCTCCATGGGAATGATGAATCTTTTGCATATTGGAGAAGATCACCAATTACTCCCTGGCCAAAGGAATGCAACCTCTTGCAATTTTCTTTGTGGTCTCCACTGCCCATCTATCCCTTAGATTTTACTGGCCTTCTCCAGACTTTTAGACTTTTTCCCATCTTTTTTAAAATACGAAGGTGACAGAGGGACACAATGCCCAAGGAGGCTCAAGTCAATGTTCCAGTCTTCAACATGGCAGAAATTAGATGAAGGATTTCAGAGATGAAAGAGTCTTGCAGTGGAAAAACCTTACAATGGCAAGAACTCCTTAAACTAAATTTCTGACACATCAGACTGTGCTTTCAGTGTCTGAGGATGAAAATAAGCAATTTAGTGGCTTAGAACACAGGTTACAGGTTCAAATACAGTTTATCTATTCACTGGCTGTGTGACCTTGAAAAAGTAAACTAATCTCTCCAGCGCTCAGTTTCTCATCTGTAATGCGAGAATAATAGCAATTCTCACCTCCTAGGCATTTTAAGAGAACTGAGCAGGCTGCTGCATGTAATATGTTCAGCATAACACCTGTCACAAAATAAATGTTCGAAAATAATTTTAATTTTAGGACTTTTTTTCATAAGGCATGCTTCTTCATTATTGGACAGTTTTAATTGTTATAAGACCTATTTTTTAGTAGTTCACTGATTTCTTGAGTATCTCGTCATTTCCAGTGAGTTTTTTCTCTTTAAGTAGCAAAAGAGCTATATTGACCCCAGTTTCTCTTTTCTCCCTATTAACATCATCAAATTCCATTTCATATAATAAGAATTTCTTGTCTCTTCCTGGGTTGCTTGTCTTAGAAGTCTTCTAATTTTTTAGTGTGGAGATGTCAGCCAACATGGGACTTCTGGCACTCTTATGATTCTCATTTCATGCCAGCTTTTTCTTACACACAAGCATACATGCTTGTGTGCACACGTACACACACACAACTCCAGGTGGTACATCACAAGTCCATTATTTAAGAGGATCACATAGTATATGCCATATCCTAATACAAGAATACAAAACCTAAGAGGTATAAAAAGAGTGGCTACATCTCTTCACCCTCAACATCAACTCCTCAATTGCCTAGAAACACCATGCATCCTGGGTAATCTCTTGATTTAGCAGAATCTCAGCAGCCAGGATCATTTCTCGATAGGAAGGTCAGTTCCTGCCCACTCTCAGCAGAAGAACTCAGAAGATCTCCCTTCACAGACAATTAACCCAGCACTCAGAGGTACCCTAAACCGGGACTTTGCTGTGAATGGTAGGACTTTGGAAGTCCTGAATTCTGGAACATCTCCAAGGCCACTTTTGTAAGGACTGTATAGAGCCAAGAAAGAAGAATGTAGAGCCCCAGTGTTCAAAGTAGATCCATCACTATAATATGTGAGACACATCACATGTCCCTATGCTTTTCAATACAATAGAATTGTTAGAGGCAGAAGTAATAACTTTTGTGATTATATCTTTATACACCATGCTTTTTATTCAAGACCCATTGTGTTTTCTTGGTCTTTTAAAGCCATATATATATATGTGTGTGTGTATCAAAATGTTCTCCTTATTTTTTCTACAAAGCTTATGTTTTCTCTGTAAGAAATCTTTCTTCTCCCTGTTGATCTTCATTCTATTTCTGATAGTATTCACAATGTCTTTGAATTTCATTTCTGTCTTCCAAGTAGACAGCAACTCTGTCCAACTTCATGCTTCCTTATGATTCACTTGATTGCTATTGTCTAGCTCCTGAATAAAACTATTAAGTAACACATTTTTAAATTTCCAGTCCTTGTGGAGTAATACACAATATTTTTTTACATATAGATGCTGAAAACTCAACAATCAACCTTTAGAAATTATAACTCTAAGAAAGATACTCTAATATTGTCTACACCTCTGCTTCCAAAGGTGTGTTCTATGACCTTTTAAAGATTCCATGCCAAAGAAGTTTGGAAAATGCTATAAATTATAATGACTCTACGACTTTCATATTACCTTATTAAAAAACATTTGAGAATCCTATAGTAAAGTAACTTATTTTATTCTGTGTTTCCCAAACATAAATGTTCATAGAACACTTAATAACTTTCTATAAAACACTCTTTCAGGGACCTTCTGCTTTAAGCAATTTCTACAGCCTAGTGATAGAAATGTCAGGAAGATAGACAGAAAGCCCATCCAGTTCCACTGTATTCAATCTTTCACTTTCTTTTTACCTACACAGTCTAATATTCTTCAAAGAGAGAAAATTAAATTGGTCTGGCATTGACATTATTTGTTTGTTCAGAAATCCAACTCGAATTGTTACACAATATCTAGGGCTTTTCTGAGTAATGGAAAGTAATTTGATGATCATTCTATTATTTTCTCTTGTATTAAATTTGCATTGACCAATTTATATTTTCCCAGGTGTGCTCATGTGTATGTCATTATTCAATTTCCTAAGTGCTTTACATGCATTAGTTCATTCTTAACTCACAGCACTCTTATAGATGCCATTAGTTTCATTTTATAGACGTGGAATCTGCTGAATGCTGAGCTCAAGTACCCCGTTTAAGGTTTCCACCACTTGTCAGGGTGAGAAGGAGGATTGGAACCCAC